GGTAAATGCAAGAGCAGCTCATTAAATGGTGTGACAAATAACTTCTGTCGCTGTCGATTCCATTGTTTGTGTCTCTAAAATGTTTGCGTGTGCTACTTTGGGATATACAGTCAGGCCCCATTGAGCACACGAATGGGCAAGTATTAGAGCTGTAAAGCAACACCTTGGATTTGCCATTTCTGCAACTCACTTAATTAAGGGATCTATAGCCAGAAAGCAGAAAATGCACATTTCTCATTACAAAAGGTGAAATTTCTGAAATCCATTAGATACACAGTAGGATAAAAATGTGCAAGGTTCCCACACACTGCTATGTAATGCAGCTTGTTCCTCTCTATAATACCCCCTGCTATTCCGAGCAAAAATCTTCCAATGCATTTCTGCTGATGTGCTTCAAACCTCAGCTCTGACACCCTGCTAATCCCAGCCAGCCTTCCCTCAACATTTTTATAGTGCAGCCCTATATTGATGGGCTGCAACTTTTGCTATTCAAAGAAAAAGCAAGGACAAACCAGCTCCTTGTGTTCCACCTTTAGTGAACTGGAATAGAGAGATATATATAATAGATAATATAACAGATATCCCCATGTCAAAAAGCCCCACAGAAAAGTGCCACATACGTGTAAGAGGCTTCAAACACTTTCTCACAAACTGAACACTGTAGTAAAAGCCTCAGCTCTAAAGGAAATTCAGGGCATGACAATAACTTAGATCCCAGCACCAATTTGAGTAGCCCCAGTTCTGGCAACACCCAAATCGTTTATCAGATGTGGTTGTTGTGGAGGTATGTCAGGAACGTAGAAGGGAGAGACTGAGGATGAGCCAGTACATGGCTTTGGCAGAGCCCTTTAATTCCTTCATACCTCAGTTTCCCTAGCTCTTAAATGGACATAACAGCCCTTCTCCCATGGCTTCACTATGGACGACCACCATGAACTGTTTTGCAAGCAATCTGGAAAGGAGAGATGGTAAAAAGCAGTTTCCAGCTGAGGTGTGTTAGCACTGTTGTACCTCTGTGTTTGAGAGCTGAAACCATGGCTGCTTCCCATACGTGAAGATCTCCCAGAGGATCACCCCGAAGCTCCAAACATCACTCTCTGTTGTGAACTTCCTGTACATGATGCTCTCCGGGGGCATCCAGCGGATAGGCAGCATGGTGTGTCCTCCAACCTGGGTAAGGGCAAAGGCACAAGGAAATCTGAGTGATGAGAGCCCTGAGGAAGGGGTCAGCCCTGACGTGATGTGGTGAGAAACTCAGGGCCTCCCTGTGAGCTCCATCAACAAAGAGCTGTTAAAAAATGCTGGGCTGGCTACTGCCTCCCCATCCGCCCAGGGGCTCACCCGCCAATCCCACCTGGTTAACATGATGGATAGGGAGGGAAATGTATCAAGATAAATGATGTCCTCTCCTCCCAAAATGGGCTTGTAAAGAAATCATATGACAAAACGCCAGCAGCCTACTCCAACCCCACAGTCTGATGAACCAGGAGGCAAGACAAGAAACAGCCAAGTATTGCACCGAGTTTTGCAGGGCCTCTGAGGCACGCACCAGAAACGCAGTGTGAGGTTCATCCCTTTTCAGTAAGGTTTCCTAAAAGCCATGCACAGGCATCTGCACATCACCTAACGGCGTGAAAGACTTTGTGCTCAGAAAATTGTGCTACAGGCCCTTTCAAAGAGTGCTTTGGATATGTAAATGACTGCAGGACCGCACTGCAAAAAGGCGGTCTGTTTGTAAAGAATGGGCTCTTATAGGCAGGTATATGCCCAGTATTTAATGGAGGAAGGAAAGCCAGCCCCTTTGGAGAGTTTGGAGATGGAAGAGCCCAAGGTCAAAGTCCCATTGGGGTATGCCAAGTCAGGGAAAGACACTTTCTCAGCCAGAGTCTCCCTTTTCCTACGGCATATGAATCCAGCAGGTATACAGCAGGTTTGCAGGACACATGCAGACAGCTTCAAAGCATATGGATTTACCTTTGGGTTCACTAGAGATGCCTAAACAAGTGCCTCTGAGCAGGACAAGTTTTTCTCTATTCTGTCCTTCTACATAAGAAGCACCATCTGTGGGGAAATAGCTAATTGATAAGACCAGCCGGTGCTGGAAGCAGGATAGCTGCAAGTCTCCAGCACTCGCTTCTGCTGAGGGCAAAGTGTCTGAGGGTTTAGTGATGATGAGAAAGAGTGCTTTTGCGGCACTGCTTGGAAGGTGTGTTGTCTCATTATGGACTCCAGACCAGCAAGTGCTAATAACTCTGTAGCATCGCAACTGAATCACACAGGCTGAAATCTCTCTGGCCCTATGAAGCATGAGGGGAGAAGGTATCTGATATTTAGGTTTCCAGCATGTGTAGCTATTGAAAATAACGAGATTGTTTCTTGTACAAACAGAAGTTCTCCTCTGAGCTGCCAGTTTTCCCAAGCTGCCACGGGTTTCTTTGCCTGATTAAAGCAGAACTAGTCTAGGGAAGGGTCAGTACAGACACACACTGCAGTGCTTGGAAGCAAGAGGGGAGGTGTGTTGGAATAGGGTGTGAAATGAGTATGATCCTTAGCGGGCTTTCTGCACAGTGGGTGGGAGTCAGACTTCGCTGGGGTTTGACAGAATTTGGACTCAGGCTTGCAATGTTACACTCAGAGGTCTGCAGAACAGCCCTTTTTCTATCTATGTCTGAAACACACCCTCCCTCAAAAAAGAGAAGGAGGTTTAAAAGTCTCAGGAACATCTTTGTTTCCCAAGTGCTCAGAACTGTGATACATGAAGATAAAAAGCTCATTGCAGCTCTACACGTCCTGTTTAGAGATGGCTTGGTGGTGTTTTCCCAGCTTGCTGCTCTGAACTCCCAAAAATGTTCTCCCATAATGAGAATGGAAATATGCTTTTCTCTGTTTGTTCCTTTGAAATCATGGCTGTTATTTTAGCTCCTTCCTGCATTCCCGGCTTTATAAGTTGTTTTCCCTTCTTGTGAAGGGCTCTGAGGAAATGTTATCAACAGACCAGGACATCCATCAAACCTGATTGTTGCAAAAACTGTTTTGTGCTAATGCTTATTTTGTTCTCCTTTAAGTTTTCCAGCAATCTCAAAATAATTACTTGTAAAGCTCTCTACATTTGCAATATCCTGAATCTTGCAGGATCATTTGAGATTACAGGCAGTACAATGTATTGAGCACAGTTAACTCCCTTTTGAACAGGTCTTCTTACAGCAGTTCCGAACCTATGAACCAGGTCTCCTCAGCTAACACGAACAGTATTACAGCAGCATTCCTTCAATGGGAGGGCCCTGATTTACATCACTTGAGGATGTGGCCCTGAAAGCGGAGCTGAGAAACCAGTCCCATCTCAGTTCTAATAAGTTAAAGTTGAGGTCTTTCTTTGGTCTCCTCTAGAACCATCCTGGTGAAGAACTGCCAGTAAAGTGACATATTCGGTCAACAGTTGCCCTAAGGATGTGATGACAGTCCCACCTTAGCTCATATGGTGGAGTCCAAGGACTGCCAAAGCATTTCTCCCAACACTGTGTGCCCCATGAGACATTTCTTTTACTAATAATTAATCTGATAATAACTAATAATCAAATTAATTTGGGAAAAAAAACCACAGAGGCAAAAACAAACCCAAGCAATTCCTAGAAACGTGTGGATCCCAAAATATGGCTCAGCTGTGCTCATAGTTATTCTTTGCAGGGGTATTCTTCGCATCTCAAATAAGGTGCCACATTTTTGAGAGCAAACGTTAAGTCTCACACTTACTAACTAGCTATAAGCAAAACAGGCATCAATTAAACTGTACCATAAAGCCACTGCGGTGTCTAGCCTAGCACATAAGGCTGACTATTACATTTAAAGCATTGCTTTTGACTATCCCTTACTGCTTCCCTCGCAAACTGCTTAGGATTAAAATTCCCATTTCACAGACGAGGAAACAGATGCAGGAAGGCAAGGAAAGGCCCTGCTCTGAAGCTGTACAGTGAGTGAACACTAAGTCAAGTCTTCCTGGTCTGCAGTGAGCCATTCACTGTTATTTGCTGATGTAGCAAAATGATTTAGAGCTGAGCACAGAGGGATTGTGCTACTGATGCCATAGGAAGCAGAGTGTGTCCAGGGTGATGGAAGTCCTTTGCGCGATGTGTAGTGGCTATGAGTGGTGTTATGCCACTGTAGACTTGCACTTGATTCCCACAGACGCACACTCCTTTTACGGGACCAGCTATTTGCCAGAACCATAAAAGCAAAATAATGCTATTAAATCAGGCTGAAAAACTAATGGCTCTGTGTTTTAATTTTTCAAAGCCGGTTTATGTGGCATATCTTTGGCTTTTGAAAGAATCATTACCATGCCTTTAGAGAGAAGCTGAAAGTTTGTTTCAGTCAGTCAAACCTGTTTGCTCAGAGCTGGGCCTGGCAGGTTTTACAAATAAGTGACCATGCAGGACTGGTGTTTGGCAGGATCATGCTACTTCTGAGCCTTTTCTAAGACAGCCATGTCATCTTCCTACCCCATCTTCCTCCATTTCCCTTGGTAGCCAGGGATGGCGGAGCCCAGCCATCATGTACCTTCATCTTCTGAATGCCCCTAAGGGTAATATGTCCTCAAACAGTGACATTGCAACATCCACAACCTGGAAGAGGGATTTGTTTTCAAGCAAATAAGGCAAATAAATCCTCTTCTGTTTCTCTCTAAATCCTATGATGCTGCCAAGCTAACCTTTTCTCCTTGTTATTTTAATGCTTCATAGACCTGCAGACTGGCCTCTTTATCTCATTGCCATGGCTGTCTAGCTTTGCTTGACATTTTTAGCTCTCTAACTTTCTCTTCCTAGATCAACTCCCCGTGCCCACATTGACATGTTATTCCCACTGCTTTGCTCTTTCAGTTTGCCGTACTATCCTGATAATAGATAGAAGAATCAGTGCATATCCTCCGAGCAGCCAAAGTTTCTTTCTTCTGTCTCCATTTCAAGCGTCACCTATAATATCACCTACTCATTTCTATCCTTTTCTAATGGATACTCCCAAGTGCATGACCTGGTCTACAGCCACATGGTTCTGATACTCCAGGGCACCTGGCCTCTGCTCTGCAGTCTCATTACACATCCAAGCCTGTAGACTTCCAAGATAACCAGCCACCCGCTTTGAGCAGCTTATTGCTGTATTAGATATGACCCTTGGGGAGCTGGGGGAGGTTCGTGAAAGGCCAGCATTAATGGCCATTAGGGAGTGAGATAATTACTTAATACTAGTACAGCACTTTGAAGATGTAAAGCTATATAAGTGCTATGTACAAGCAGTATTATAAGGCTTGAGGTTTGCCTGTTACCAAGGAAAGCTGGTGCCTGGGGAAAAAGTTCTCCTTGTCCCATCTTTCTGAATGACATCCAGCTGATTAGGATGGGAAATATGACATGTTATCCCCAATGAGTTTGACAGTACAGCAACAGGCAGTGGAGCAGCAGTGTTCAGTGAAGACTCTGCAATGTATCTGCGGTTTGGGCCACTAACAGATATACTATGGAAATCAAAACTGAAGGGCTGAAAAACCCTCATGAGAACTTTGGACTGGCAGGAATTCAGATGCTAACCTGTTAAAGGCAGCTCTTGGTGGGCAGCCCTGTTTCCCCCCTCCCACCTCATATCCTAGCACCAGGGCTGTCCACTCCATGCTCATAGCTGAATGTTGCTTCATGGATCTCAGTTAAGAACAGAATTTGGTCTCTGTCATACTCTAAGGCCATGTTTTATTTTCCTTTTTGTGCAATTTCTTTCCCAACTTCAAATTAAAATAAAAAACAAATCAGTGCTTTTGTTTTCCTTGATCATTTGACATTTGTTTTCCAAAGTCATTTGACAGCTTTCTCCCCATTCCTGGCATACTTCAGGGAGACTCTGCTCCTGCTCTTGCCTTGGGAAAGTCACAATACCTACTGTAGGTATCTTCATATGTTGCAGCATTATTTGAACTTCCCTTCTAGGTGCAGGAAGCTGAGACATTTGAGTTTGTAAAGAATCATCTAACAGTATTAGAGGCCTTCGCACTGTTTCTCTTCAGGAAAATCCACCCAACTCTCAATCCATTTGACCTAGAGATAAGACATACATTCTCTGATTGCTGTCTCTGTTCCTGCTGCTAGAGGTAGGGATGACTTGGGACCTCTCTAATTGCAGACCTGGCT